TGGGGAGTGCAGACACCAAGTCTTACCTTTCTTGGTCTCCCCAGCAGTTGATACAGTGTTTGGCACAGCAGGTGCTCAATGTTTGTTGGATGGATAAATGAATGAATGAGTAAAGAGATGAGAGGTCTACAATCCACCCCAGTTACTCAGCCACCATTTTGGAAAGTTCACCCTGCAGAGATAAAGAAATGTCAGTGCAGGTGGTAGGCAGACAGAGCAGAGGTGAGGGCGTGCAGGAGACAGGACTGGAGAATGCAGGGGGGCGTGGGTGGGATAGCACTGGAGAGAGAGAGGGGATGAAAGGGGTGGGTGCAAGGAGACATTGAAGAACAACTGATATTAACTGCAGTAAATTAAATGGTGATTATAATATATGAAGGGAAGATCAAGCTAACCCAGCAAGGGTGGGAGAGGCAGTACCAGAGACAAAGGGGGCTCACATCCTCATTCACTGCATGTCACTCATGGCGCCCGCCTGCTGGGAAGGCATTGCCAAGTTCTTGAGAGACGTGTTTGTGCTGTGGGCACTCTGAGTACAAAACAGTGTCTTACGGCTTCCAGATGTTAAGACTTATGTCCCGTGTCTGAGTTCTCAGAAGACAGGATCATTCGCTGGCGGGGGGAGAGCTATTTTGGTTGACACCACAGTGTTACTCTAGTAATCTCAAAGGATGGTGGGGAATTCACTACAACAAATAAAAAAGAAATTTCACTCAAAAAAATATGCCATTTAGAACCTGGTGGGGGCCGTGGGGGCAATGTTACCACCAACTCATCTAACAGTTGTATGTGAGCGTGTTGAAACTCCAAGTTCAAGTCACTTAAACACGCATTAGAACCAGGGTCCAGGCCGCGGTGCTCCAGACACGGACAGGAAGATGCAAAGCCTGACTACTGCCTCCAACAGGATCAGTCCAACCGGGGAGCACAATGGACACGAAAACGATCACACACCATCAAGACAAGAATCAAGTGCGATTAATGCCTAGAAAGGAGAGCAGAAAATCTGTGTAAAAGGTGGAGAGTTCCTGCCGAGGCTTGGCAAGAATCCTTCCAGGCAGAAAAGCAGAGAAAGGTATTTCAGACGAAGGAGACCAGGGCTGGTGGCTGTAAGCACTGGTGGAGGGCTCCAGGGTCATCTGTCAGAAGCTGTTCCCCTTCAGCAGCTAAGAGGCATAGCTAAAAAGGCAGATGGGGTGTCATTAATGATCATGGGGAACATTGGAAGGAGGAAACTGTGGTCAGGAGATCACCACCAAAGGCACTTTGTTTTAGAGGAACAAAAATAATTACAAAAAGAACTTGGAAATTCTATCTCCCATGAACCAAAAGAACAAAAAATAAGGTTTACATTCCAGCTTTGAATACAGAAT